GCAGGTGGCATGGTGGTTAAGGCGCTGGACACTCCCACATGGCCAACCAGGGTTCAAGTCCTGAATCTGGTGGCTTGCTTTCTCACTTCCTCTCTCACTCTCACCCTCTATCTCTTTCTGGTCAAATTGAAAAATAAGTGAATGAATAAATAAAATACAATAAATTTTTTTAAAAAAAATAAAAGTGTACTGTAAAGACATGATAAAATGTAAATTAAAATGAGTGAATATATTTAAAAAAAAATGACCAATGAATGTTGACAGCATCAACGTTGCCGGTGAAGAAGCAAATACAAAATAAGGTAAGATGTTATATTTAAAGTCAGGTAGGCAGATATTTTAAAAAATGACCCAGTACTCTCAAGGCTATGTGCAAATAGGTGCTCTTGGGGTGCTTTTGGTATAAGCTTTTGAGTGCTTAGTTCTATCAGAATCTTGAAATAAAACGTATCCTTTGATACAATTAAACTACTCTCAAAATTGATCCTAAGCAAACAGCAAATGTGTAGCTGTATTGTCTATACCAAATTTTGGGGGGCCAGCCGGCCAGGTGGTGTGATGGTTAAAGCAGCCGAATCCCACATGGCTGACTGTGTGGTTCAAGTCCTGACCTGGAGGTTTGAAACACTGAGTACATGTGTGTGCATGCTCAGAACCCCAAAGGAAGGAGTTGTGGCATGGTCATTTCCCCTGGGGCGAGGGGCACCTTTTTTTTCTCTCTCCTCCCCAGCGGGTGCTCGTGCCTCATAGCTAATTGAAAAAAACAATAATTGTATGCTCTTTAATTGGAAATTGGTTATGTAAGTTGTGACACAGCCATGCAGTGGAATTGACATCCATAGTAATGTACATGGGGATTTATGGGCAGGGCAGATGTTCAATACCTATTGTGGTATTAATAAAATAGATTATAAAATGGTATATAGAGTACAGTCAACATTTCTCCTAAAAGTAATACAAATGAATAAGACAAAGTCTAGAGGGAGACACATCAGAAATATTAGCCATTGTTTTTGGATTTGTTTTTTTAAAGGTAATTTTAAAAAATAAAAGAAAAAGAAATACCTGTCTTGTTTCCTTTTTATATGAATTTAAAACTCATGCACGGGTTATGTCTT